GCACAGTTTTACTGCATGGTATGTGATGGTAAACCATCAGGGAATTAACCTGAAGATGTAGCTCTCTTTTTGGAAACCTACAAAATGTCCACTATCACTCAGTGAATAGCTCCAAACATTACCAACAAAGATGTACTTTCAGTACTGGTTTTAAAGAAGTGTTTTCCTCCATTATTAAGGATACTTCATTTCCAAATTAAGCTTAGCAGAACTGATCCAGGGCACCTTCAACCCCCTCTCCCATGACTGCAATTATGATCGATTCTAAGGCTATACTATAGCATGCAGTTAGCTTTTTCAAGCAGGAGCTCGGCGAGGAGTAGACCTATTTTCTTAAACATTTGTCCTTTCCAGCCCACATTTCTCTTTACAATGAAATTTATATGAGCCATGAACAACATTTTTTATGTCATACTCTCAAAATTTCCCACATGCCTGGCTTGCAGAGACAACAGGCTGCTGCCTCCCCATTAATCAGCATTTCAGTGACATGCATTTTTTCTTTGTGCTGCACCCACTCTGAGTTTCTGACTGGAGAGGGTACCAATATGTCAAGGCTATCACTACTTCAGACTACATTAGAGAACTTAGAGAAGGGGTCTGAGGACCAAAATTTAAGTTCTTTGTGGGACATGCAGAGAGGTAGACCCTGCTTGAGAGAGAGAGCACACAACTTTCTGATTCAGGAAAACAGTGCCAGTGAGAAACCTTTGACTCCTTCCAGCCTTTTGCCACGACTGCAGGTTAAAGAAACCCATGGGACAGTTCAGGATCAAAGATGTAACTGAGCTTAAGGAAAACACCTTGATTGACTGGGAATCACAGTTCTGTAGTGAATCTCTGCTTTCAAAGTCCTCCTGGTTGCCTTCATACGCTGTGTCCTGTAGGAGGGTCCTACCGGAAGGCAAATTTACGGTGGTCTTCTAGTGGGGATGTCCATTTCTTCCCATGGGAGGGAAGTGATTCTGCAGCTCCTCAGTGTCACATTTGGCCCTTTACTCTGCTATAAAATATTAGCCTAAGACAGCAAGTATATCCAGTATCTATGGTTTTGTGGGTTTTTTTTCCCTTTTTGTTATTGTTTATAATACAAAATCAAAATAATTAACATATTTGACAAAGGTATATAAGCCTCATTTTTCCTTTTGCACAAGGCCACTTAACGTGGTGGCAGCATAAATCATGTTGTCAATCACTATAAGGCTCTTTCCATTGCCAGAGTTATCAAAAAGGCTGTCAGTGTGCATGACATTCTGAACTTGATTGAAATGCAGAGCACAAGCACCCTTTTACTCAGACTCATACACCCCTGGCAAAGTCACTGATTTCTAATACAAGCATGTATTTGCATTTTAAAAAGTTGCTTTTTTTCTTTAGCTGTTTCTTTACAAAATGCAAAGACTGCCTTGATCCTACGAGTTATTACTCATTGATACTCAAAAGTACTTTACTAAGCCTATGAAATCATCTGCTGAGGATGATTCTGAGAAAATACTGTGTAGTGGAGCCACCTACAGGGATATGGTATGAAATACAGACACACATGATAAGCAGAGATGTGAGGGGAAGCTCTCACAGAACCAGGGACCTGGCAATGACAGCAGTAGCGATACCAAAATCATCATGTCAGAAAAATAAATATATATTGGATAGAATAATATGAACAATAACTATTAAATTAGGTTATGAATGTGTTTTTATCTTCCAGATTAGAAGATTGTGGCTTGTCTGTGTGGAGCAGTAATTAAAAAGAAAATACAATGGTTTGGTTTAATAAGAGATGTTAATATGAAAAGCTTACTCCCTCAGAGGTATTTCACTTTTAGATCTGCATTTGGGTCTTATCGTTATCAAAAAGACCCTGAAAAAAACCAGAAAGGCCACAGAAGTACCAATATTCACAGAAGGTATTCTCTTTGAAGATGGATTTGGAGGGGAGGAGATACTGAGGTATAGAAATCATGAGGAGGACGAGAAGGCTGAATGGGTGATCCTTGGCACCTTCTCAACAGCACTTTAATAAGTAGGCGTTCAGTGAAATGAAATGGCAACAACACCAAACAGAAAAATTACTATACATTGTATTTATGCATATTTTACTAGTAAAACTCACTATCAACAATATATTACTGAGGCAACAAGCTTGGTAAGAAACATTGACTTTTTTTTTGTATGGCAATTGCTAGACTTACATGGTGTTCTCCCTCATGACACTTCTGATATGTCCCAGTAAAAATTTGATATTGGTGTCTCACGCTTGCGCAAGAATTTTTACTACAGAAGACAGATGACAAGTACATCTAATAACTAGCTGGGGGCTCGAACAGAATTAATTGCATAATGGATAAAAATGTCTCAAACCAAAACTGAGTAGGAGCAAACCTCATGTAAACTGCAGCCCAATGCTAAGAGAGCATCACATTCTCAGAAAGCCATAAAAGCTTTAAAAGTGCAGCTGAATTTGCAGCTTTGCTTTGCAAACTCAGATGTTCCTACTCTTGAAGAGACATCAATCTAATTGCATTTCCTTTCCTGCAACATAGACTTCATGAACAATGCCAGTTATCCACTATCCATGCCTCTAGGCTTGCCAAACCATTTTATGGCTTGTTGGCAAACCCCTCAGCTCCTTGCAATCACGATACACATTTCCATATTTTTTTTCTTCTTGAAAACACAGGAATAGTCGTAGCAGGGGAAAGGGGTTGAAACGCACCATGAACACATTCAGAATATATCACGGTTACAGAAGCATGTTTACTTTGAGAAGACCATGTGACATTCATAAATTCAATGGACAGGAACTATTTGCAGACAAGTACTTGATAATACTTGTATGTGCAGTACATGCTTTCTAGAAGTTCACTCAATTTCTTCATGTATCTGTATAATGAGCTGTTGTCTACTGAAGAATTGCTGCATCATCCCAAAGAAAATATCTACACCAATCTTTTACAGTTATATGAGCTATTGGAGGGAAGCAGCAACCCATTGTACCTAGTCCAAGAATTTCAGAAATCCTGTTTTATTAAAAGTGTTACAAGCTGCAGTTATTTAAATTACATTCTATTAATCATTTCTTTGCATCGGGGACAATTTCTGAATAAACACTACCTGTATGTCAAGAAATGGCCCACAATTTAATTTTGGGTGAAACTCAAGTCAGTCAAGAACATACCCTGGAATACAACTGCTGAAACTATCCAGTTAAAGTGACTGATCAAGAAACAGGGCATGGAAAGCAGCATAGGAAACCCGTTAGTGAATCTGTTTGTGTATCACAATGATTTGGGTATTCAAGAGCTTTTCAGAATGACAGAATAATGCCATGGAAGGAATGGATGAAAACCCAGCAGTAATGGCAGACTGCAGACTCACATTCACTGGTAAAGTATACTGATGCTGTAGAATGCAATGGTAAAAACATTTTTCAGAGCACCAAGCAACAGGTATGTATATTCTGCTTTAATACACTGAGTGAAAATTCCACATTTCCATATTGCACTTAGCTACTCGGGCCACATCAGTGTGAATGGCCATTTACTCCAATCAGGCTGAGGAAAGCATAAAAACATACGAATGCCATGGTTTTCTTCATCCCACATCATTCTGAAGTCTACAAACAAGCTTTGAAAGTCCTCAGGTACTGCAAAATCATACGTCCAGTGGAAAATCTAGGGCCAGATCTTTGGCTGCAGCCCATCCCAGCAGTTCCACTGACTCAGTCAGTTTACAGCAGCTGAGAAATCCTATAAACTCTTAGGATGAACATTTGCCAAATGATGATAAGCTAACGATTTGAGGTTACAGCAGCATTGTACACAACTTAATTGCAACTAATTTTACTGCAGTAACTGTAGCATGATGACTGCTGTTAAAGACGTGATTGCCCAAGCAAGAAATTTAAAAAACTGATCAGTTATGTATTTAAGTTAGGCTTCCTGGTGTTTTCAGATCCGTGTTCATGTTGCATACAGATGTCAAGGGAGTCTGTGCATAGGCAGCTGGGGCAAACCTAGGCCACTCCTGAGCCAAACTGACATTTCTAGAAATCCTCAAGGGTGAAGCTATGCACACACACCTGACATCATTTTAAAAATCTGGCAAGCAAATTAGGACAATATGGTGTAAATATAAACTGTATGTATGTGGCTTTATATGCACACAAAGTAGAATGAAATGCTATGCAACAAAAGTATAGGTAAATATTTATGGACAAGTAACTGGTTGCTTGTCTTTGATAGATCAATTTGTAAATGTTTTGTTTTCAGCCATCTCATGTTGTACAGAGCAGCCTCAGAAATCAACTGTTTTCACTCTTCGCTGACATAAAATTTCATGCAACAGTGCATCCTGGAATGATCCATACCAGTTCCTTAATACTGTGGGCAGATCATAACACTGTAACACTTTTAATAATACAATTCCAAAACCCCATAATAAATCAAACTTTGGGAGAGAGAAAGAAATTATTTAGCAATTATTGTTTCCCCCTGCCTCAAAGGCTGAGTTTTACTCTTGGTAATAAATAGAAGGTACACACTCTCCAGATTGTCTGTAACAATTCTGTGATGTATAATACTCAACACAATTGGTCTCTTCCTGTCTGCACATACAGTATCATTTCTGAACAAGTTAATAACGGGTTATACTGTATTTTTGTCTTGCCCAATATATATAGATACACCTTCAGCAGAATTTCTTCTCAATATTTATACTATTAATTGGACCAAATGACAAAATAAAAAAAGAAGAGGAGGAAGAAGAAGAAGAAGAAGAGAAGAAGAAAGGGAGCTTCCTTTACACTTGTGTCTGATGCTGGGTTTCCACAAATGGAATGTGAACATTTTCTAGGTTGAGTTCCTCCACGCTTTCAAAGTCACTCATGGCTACTTCGGAGTCATCAAAGCCGCAGCTGGCTGAGACATCAGAGGAGGAGGCATCTAGAGAGTTGTGCAAGGATAAGGGCATCTTACCTGCACTAACGTTTTCAGCTTCCTTTACACTTGTGTCTGATGCTGGGTTTCCACAAATGGAATGTGAACATTTTCTAGGTTGAGTTCCTCCACGCTTTCAAAGTCACTCATGGCTACTTCGGAGTCATCAAAGCCGCAGCTGGCTGAGACATCAGAGGAGGAGGCATCTAGAGAGTTGTGCAAGGATAAGGGCATCTTACCTGCACTAACGTTTTCTGTGTTCTGGCTTGGGCCAACAGCAAAAGTACTAAATTCATTCCCAGTTTGAGACCCTGTGGTGTCCGTCTCATGGGGGAACTGGTGAGGAGGAAGGTACTGGCTAGGGTGGAAGTGTGGCCGTCTCCTGCAATCAGGGCTGAGAGTACTTGCCATTGAGACTGGCTGCGAGGGTGGGAGGGTTTCATATTGGTCTGGATAATCCTCTGGAAGAGGAGGTGGTAATTGGTCCTGGCTTAAAAACTCCTCTTCATGAGGGGGAGGGTAGTCACTGTCAATGTCGTAGCCACCAAGGTAGTAATCTGTTTCCAGTTCTCTGGTACTGCCATGATGAGCTGAGCCTCCATCTGTCGTCTCAAAATTGGGTACTTCCTCAATGTCGGACAAGCGAGCACTTGGCATCCAGTCAGAGGTGTCCCAATGGTAAGCTGCAGCAGGAAAGAGAACCACAGTGCACTGTTAAGATGGGACCACAACTGAGAAGAGAGTCCTGCATGCACTTGCCTCTGAGCCCTCACAGCACATTCAAATCACAGCATGCGCCATAGGCCACTGACACAGGTCAGTCATGCTCTGACCAGAGGGGTAGAGAAGGAGAAAAAATTGCATTATGATGCTAATGCAAACAAGCAAAAAAAGCAAACATGGACACTCTGGCATTTCACTTTCTAGGATGCGACTGAGTTGTATTAGAAACTATGAGTCCAAGAAATCAAGATGACAAACAATGTCTGTATTACTGCTTTTCACAGTTAAATTGAAAAACATCTATAATCATAGTCAGCATGCTTATGGCATCACATTTCGCCTCCCCTTCCACATCCAATGACTTTGTCTCAAGAAAGAAAGTGTGCAAGCAAATAATTTGATTGACTGAGAACTGAATTTTGAAACAAAAAAATTGGCTGACTATTCTCATGCAGCTTTTGAACCCAACAGAATTCAAACAAAAGAGGACATGTGAAGCAGTTAAAAAAATAACCCCAAACAGATTAAATCAATGCCCTGCCCACCCCAGCCCAGTGTGACAGACAGAAAGTGTCCCAGAAAAATCACCTCTGTTGTAGTTCTGTCCTTGATCCATAACAGACACTGTCAGATACAAAGTGAAAAGTAAAAACTGGTAACTTGGAGCTTGTTACCAGCATTGTATTACATGTGAAAATACAAAACTCTGCATGCATATTTCTAAAGTACAGCTGCCTTGGTGTCATTTTAATAGGATTTTTAATTGCTCTTTATTTTAATGTACAAGATAAACTTGCCCGTCAAATGCAGACATACATAAAGAAATGGTTATGTCGTGTTTTATATTCCTTTTCTATCATATCTTAATTATTTACCTTCACTGAACAGATACGGAATTACATTAGAGCTGGAATTCTTAATACAAAAAAGGGCTATCCACCATCTCTACGGTTTATAATTGCAAAGTACATTTTTCTCTCACTTGTTGACTTTGAAACAGAAAAATAAGAATCTACCATTCTCAGGGCCGGTTCAAACAAATCTGGGCCCACCTGGGCTCAGATACCATGGTGATGGGCACGGTATAAGAACCTGAATAGAATAGAATACAAAGCCATTTAATGGGGCCATCAGCTACAATGCTCCACAACCCCACACCCACCTCCCACCTGCACTGCCATGCTAGCCAGTGGGGAGGGAGGCATTCCGGTATGGAGAGGGTGCAGGGATGGGGGAGAGAGAGCAAGGAAAGAGGTTTTATGTGAGACAAGAGCGGGGAATAAGCTGCAGCGTTTTCTAGATGGGTATGCTCTTGTTCAGCCACATGTTATTGGGCTTCATGCAAGAAGTCACTGGGCAAGGTCTCTGGATGGCATTGCTGGAGGTCTGGTAAGACAAACAGATCTTTACAGCATCACACTACATAACCTCTGGGGCTCAGACACATAGGAGGGCAAAGAAGACTATTCTCCAGGCATCCACCTACTAACACCTCACTTGCCCTTGCTTATCAACACATGGCGTATGTAGTGATGGCGATTTCTTCATCAGCTTGTTAGCCAGAGAGCAGCTCTCTACCTGCTCTGCATTAGCCTGGAGCAAGGAGGGCTGGGTCTACTGCAGGGTTAGCAGCAGTGTCTGAACCGGCCCTAATCACTCTTCTTCACTTCTCTCTTTTTTGTAGAGCGGATCTTGCTGTATTTGGGTCAGTGTAATGGTATTGCACCCGAGATGCGTCAGGGCCCTCCGAGCTGTGTGGTTCAGGATCCAGGAGAACCTCACTAATTTGCTGACTTGCACAACCCCCTGGCAGGTCCTTAGGGCAGGAACCCCATCCTCCCATGACTGTGGCAGTGATTCTGCCTGCCATGCACCTGGAACTCTGGCGTGGGTAATTATTCATCCCTTCCACCAGCTTTGCCACAGGGCAGACAAGAGTCACAAGTCTTATATAAGGAACTGGGAAGTGAGCAAAGCATTCTCACGGACAGCCTCTTGAAACTGCTGCCAGACTGACTTCTGACCTGTAAAGCAGGATGGGGAGCCAATGTGTTTGCTTAAGCTTTCCTTTAGGAAGGCAAGGGCATTTGCAGTGCCTGTGGTTTCTTTCCAAGGTTATTTTCTTCTTTTTGAGTGGGACTCTCTTTTTGTAATTAATGTTTGCTAGTTAATTTATTTGATAGTGAAAAGAATGGCATGCTTACTTTTTAGGAAATCAATAAATATACCATAGACAAATACTCAAGTGCCATCACTAGTTAGGAGTAAAAGTGTTTCTCAAAATTATTGTGATACTGGCTGAAGAAAAAAATATATCAGTCATTTCACAAAATTTACATAATCATCTTTAAGTATTATCCAGTCTGGATTAGCTGAAGTCTGAAAAATATGGCTTGAATCTGCTAAAGACAGATGGAATTTTGGATTTGTGGATAACTTGAGCTGATGTTGAGTTGAAATTTTCCCAAGGATAGGATAAATGTTGTAAAAATAAATAGAAGTAATGTTTATCTATGATACACCACATTTCCTCAGTGCTTTACAGAAAAGAAAAATACCGATATTCCTGTTTACATGTAGGGAACTCAGTTCACTTACAACATGATGTGCCTGTCATTACCCTGGAGTTCAGGGGAAGAGGTGGGTGTTGGGTCCTTGGTCCACACTCCCATTCAATGGGCACATCAACCCCAGGAGGAAGTCAGGCTGCCTTGCTACATGGCATCCATGGAGCTGTGTCTACACATTTTCTATTTGACAGGGGTACCTGGGAGAAACCAGCCACCTGCCTACCACCACTTTGCTCCTCTCCTTTTGATCCCAGTGGAGTGCACAGCTCTACTGTAGCATGGGATACGTTACAGCCTTCCTGTGTCATCATCTGTTTCCCAGTCTCTGCAGCAAGTTTAAACTCAGTGATATGGCTTCATTATCAACCTAATCTTTACTCTGAAGGCAATGGGAATAAACAAGCAAAAACATTGACTTGAACAGAAGAGCATGAAGACTTGACACCTTTTCTACCACCTCCAATTACCCACAGGTATTCTGTGGCAGATTCCTCTGGCATTTTCATGTTTGCTGGTGAACATGCTGATCTGCAAAACCCAATCCCTGCCACAGGTTTGCTGGTCAGTGTAGATTAGTGAGGTTCTGCTGGAATGTTTCACAATGAAAACAGGAAGCATTGTTGCATAACAAGAAAGAAAAAAATTTAAATACCTTCATTTTCTATAGTGTCAACTACATTGTTGACAAGCTGTATGACAGTCACTATGGAAGCTTGCAGGGGAGGGAAAGCAGAAAATAAAGGGAGGGGAAGTACAGCTTCAGGTTAGTATTTTCAACACACATCATTATGTTACCACAATAAATTCTCTCAAACAGACAGAACTGACACTGAAAAAAAAAAGAGGCTGCTGACCAGTGCTTGATTTATGCAGTGGGTTGCAGGACATTTCATTTCAGATAATCCCATACATTTTCAGAGTGGAGATAAATTCCAAACCAGCATTTCCAGAAAGGCATATGGGATGATGTGTATCACCTCATAAATTCAAGCAGACCGGCCAGCTGATTCAATTAACCAAAGCAGTATCTTGTCTACCTGACACTAATTTCTAATTCATTCTTGCTTAGAGGTCTCCAGAGATGGTGCCATGTGCTCCAAGGATCATTATCTTTTAGACCGTCACACTATCAGAAACGGTGTTAAACTCAATCTATTTCCTAAGAGGAATGTTTTACTTATTTACTGTTTGTGCCACACTGAGTAATACCTCTGGGATTTTAAGCAGCACAGCTATAATTAGCAGGACATATCAAAGTAACTTTGGTTCAAATTTTGATCTGTGTTTGACAGAATAGTTTAACAAAAGCTTTGCATACTCTCTGCAGGCATTTTACCAAAATATACTTTTCCCTTGAAATTATTAGTATCAATTTTGTGGTTGTTTAACATGGAGGCCTACAATGTATGGCCCTCTAGATGATCTGCATTTTGCACCACCTAATACCCTTGCCTCTGAGGACATGAAATAAACCACACCAAAAACAGAGGGAAACCTCTGGTTCAGTGAGCACTGGATCCATCCCTTTTGTCTTATGAGAAAACAAATTGCTTCAGACCAGGCTAAGAAGGGGACCAGAAACACTGAGCAAGACATGCTTTTTTGTTTCACACAGCCAACAGACTTAGAGGTCACAAGAAACATGCTAATACTAGCAGTACAAATATATGCTGATTATTTTCACATCTTTGTTAAATTTTGGGCATGGGATCAGGGATATCATCAAATTTCCTCAGTGCTTGTGAAGGCTTGGCAAAAAAATCCTTAAAAACTAAAGCAACCGTGTTCTATGTCTATGTACAGCATGTGTATGCCATCAACAGCATTGGATATTGTACAAAGGAAACTTGTACTGGCTAATGCATAATAAGCATTAGAGAAAAATAAAGGACTCCATGTAATAAGCTGCTGTGTGGCTGGGAAAAGAGATGGAGGGCAGCTGTAAACTCTAAGAGGAGAACAACTGAGAGTGAAAAACAGAAGGTCAAAACACAGGGCCAGCACAGTCTTCACTGTAACTAAGAGTTGGCTCTGGTGGGAGCTGAGCAAAGCATGTTCATGGAAAGGAGGGAAACTCCTATCCCATACAGCCTCACCCAAGTCAATATCTAAATACAGCGCTGCTCAGATTTTTGCTTTTTGATCATAAAAAAATACTGCTAACTACTCTCAGCAAGACTAGGGGTGCTGAACAATTTAAATGCAGCAGAAATGAGTTGGGGAAAAAAGAAGTAAGTTCAAAATCACACCCAGAAAGAGTTTTCATGGTAAGACAAGTCCTATCTGACCCAGCAAGACAAGGCTCCAAGCACCCTGGAGAGGGTGAGTGGAGGCTGCCTGCACCTGATACAAACTGAAAAGCGTAGGACTGTCTGCACCTCCAGCAGGATGTGTCCCAGTGCTTCACTGATGCAAATCAGGTTTCCCCAGTCAGATGTGACTCCCCAGTTTCTCAAGGCAGTGTCAGCACAGCCATTACTACATCAGAGTGACAGAAGCCTGTCCCCTCTGCCAGACATTTGAGAAGCTGGCAGCATTGCTCCTGGCTTTGGAGGAAGGGGTTTGGAGAATAAGCCACGGTCCTGTCTCCCCAAAGTGTGGATGCTGAACTACATTTGTTGTGGTTTCACTGACAACCTTTTAACCTTTGCAGGTATGCCAGGCAGAAAGAATTAAAACAACAGGAAGAGGAAGGATTTATGGCTTCAGGGGAGTTATTTGTTAGCCCTTAAGTACATGCATGTGAGCATGTATATGCTTATTTATGCCTGAATTTGTATTTTAGACTCTCTCACTACAAACCTTCCCTCCTGCTTCAAGAAAACTGGAGTGTGTGGTCTTGCATTGACCTCTGCAAATGACTCAGATGATATAAGTTTCTTCCCTTATTCTCCCTGAAGATATGAATTTGCTAGGATCCTGAACTAGAATTGCTGTCTCTAAGGGCTGTACTTTAAATGCAGCTTTCACAAAAGATTAGTGGGCACACAAGGTGCACTCCAGCTTCTGTGGGAACTGGGTCACTGATTTAAATGGGGGCAGGAGCAGGAGCTTGAAATGTCTAATTAGAATTTGGGAGATATAAAAAGTAACAACATACAATAAATGCCCACCTGAAAAATTATTCTAAAAGTAATTATAATGTAAGCATATATCATTAAATAATATTTATTCTAAAAAAATGCTCAAGTGGTTTCTTGGGTGCAGGGGCAGAAAAGCATTGAGAAGTTTGACAAAAACAATCATGATGCTTCAGCCACAGCTGAACCAAAAGGAACTGTGAGTGCATGTTGCTTTCCATGCTTTTTCCAACGTTTCAGAGTACCTAGAGAAAAGCTGCATGACTTGACTAAGGAACTGAGTCTCCAGGCAGTTCATTAACTGGCAGCTGAGGAAACCAAGTACAATTTCTTGGTGTTAGTCTTTTCCTGTGTATCTGAATGAGGTTTCCCTGACATCCACCATCCCTTCCCAGAAGAAACATCTTGTCTTTTCTCAGACTCACGGCTCAACATACATGGGCCATGGCAACAAAAGTTTGGTCTGACTTTGTGGGCCACTTTCAGGCTTTGTATGGCTCTGCCTGTGCCACCCATTGAGATAATGATGTAGGACATGAGAGCAGGCACTGAACATGGACTGAGCAAGAATTTAATGGTGCTCGATTGTTTGCTGAGCTGTCACTGCCAGGGAGAAGCCTGGGGACTGGTTCATTCACTCATTGTTACTGCTGAGCATGAGCAGAGTCTTGTTGGGACCATGAATGAGACCTTGAAAATGGCACAAAAATTCCTTTCATTTGATTGATGAAACATGAAAACACAAGAGTCATGCTCTTCTAAGAGTTAAAATGATATAAATTCTAAGTTTCACTTGCACCTTATAAGTCAACTTATATCTTGGCAATGGGACCCTGCTGTATCATACCTCTAATTCACTGCAAGGCTTGGTCCTGATACAACAGCTCCTAGCATCAATATTTTTACTATGTTCCTATAATTTGGCAAAGGGACACAAAGCGAGGGTTTGAAACCAGGACTTTCTGACTTCCAGCATCATTAAAAGATTTCGAGATGTCATAGAAATATTTTTAATAATATTAGAAAGAGAGCTAAATAGCTTCCCCCCCCCCCAGCATAATAAAGATTAAACCATTTCTTACCATTATCATCACCGGAATCAGACTGGAAGGAGCTGAGGGACTGTACTTCTGAGTTGCTGCCTTTATTACTTCCTGAAAAACAGGTCACTTCTTCAGCGTCATCAACCCCTTTACCTTCATTAACAGCAAAAACAAAGCAAAATGGTACTCTCTAGGTATGCACATTTGTCTGTTTCTACCATGGACACATTTAAATTCTGCCTTCTATTATTTTTGTCAGAACAAAATTATTTCCTTCAGGCAGAGGAAATGACCTATTTGCCAAGAAGGCAGCTGATGAAGTCACCTATACTTTTGAAGTGTTTGAAGCCCAAAGAGTCTTTCAAGTGGCTGACAGCACTGTAATCAAGGAAGAAACATCTGTATTCAGTATTGCGTTTTTAGATGACATGTAGTCTCAACAGCAAAGAAACTGATGACTTAAAGAATGTGGTATAAACAGCTTATACATGAGATTACAGTTACATTTATCTTTACTGTTCATTTCCTAATTTGAGAGCCTCATTAAAGGCTCATTCAATGCTCAATAAAGTTATTGTGCATCTTGTTATTCATATCAGTGGCCCTTGGATCAGATTTTAATAGCTCCATCACTGATATATAATAGATTATGCTTCAATTTACATTGCTGTTCATCAGGGACATTCAGTCTTGACAACTCTGTTGTTCAGAAATGTAACTGCAACCTATGGTATAAATTCTCCTGTAATTAAACACATATGAATAAATGCATTCACATACACATTATATGAGTGATAATCAGGAACACAAAGTTATTCTCCATAGTAAGCACTGAGAGAGATACCTGAGCTAATTACAAATGAAGAAGCTCAGGTGCTACAAACATGGAAGTACGGCTCTCCACCTGCTAGCTGTAGATATTTCTACCCAGCATGGTGCACCTCCATACAAGAAGGGCTGATTTGCTCCTGCTGAGAAGCAGGATATGTAGTGGATGGATTGAGTGCTGCAGTAACGAAGCGGTGCTGCTTCCCACTCCTTGGCAGCTGAGGTCCGTCTCCATGGTGTGGCCTCATGCTGTGCAGAAATTTATAGATAGCAGCAATATCTGCCACAGAAACCCCAGGAGAATACAGGGCAAAGCATGTATGGTGGCTGGCATGCTGATGCTTTAAATCAGCATAACTATATTTAATGGTTTAAAAGGTCAACCACAACACAACTCTGAAATGCAGCCCAAATAAATGAAAATTCATTCCCTGGTTTTCACTAGAAGACCTTAGCCAATGTGCTGCTTTAGATCAAAATGTGTGGGCCAGGGCACAAGCACAGAATAATAAAATCATTAAGGTTGGAAAAACCCTCCAAGATCATTGAGTCCAGCCTTTGACTGAACACTACCATACCAACTAAACCACATCCCTAAGTGCCATGTACAATAATTTCTTGAACATTTCCATGGATGGTGACTCCACCACCTCCCTGGGCAGCCTGTTCCAAGGCTTAACTACCCTTTCAGTCCAAAAATTATTCCTGATGTCCAACCTGAACCTCCCCTGGCACAGCTTGATGCTGTCCTCTTATCCTGTGGCTAGTTGGCTGGGAAAAGAGGCCAACCCCTATCTTGCTACAACCTCCTTAAAGGCAGTGATATATTCCTCTCTCTATTCCTTAGTTCCTATTGCTTAAAACTACAGGACTATGAAACTTTCTAGACCATGTAGTTTTACTCGGCAGTTTTGGTTAATGCTGTGTTGTGATGGGGTTGAAGATCATGGAATCACAGAAAGGTTTGGGTTGGAAGGTACCTTAAAGATCATCTAGTTCCAACTCCACTGCCCTGGGCAGGGAACCTTCCACCAGACCAAGGTACTCAGAGCGTTCCAACTCCCCTGGGCAGGGAACCTTCCACCAGACCAAGGTACTCAGAGCCCCATCCAACCTGGCCCTCAACACTTCAGCGATGGGACAGTCACAGCCACTCTGGGCAACCTGTTCCAGTGCCTTACCACTCTCACAGTAAAGAACTTCTTCCTAATATCTAATCTAAACCTAGATTCCTTCAGCTTAAGGCCATTGCCCCTTGCCATATCACTGCAGGGAACCTTCCACCAGACCAAGGTACTCAGAGCCCCATCCAACCTGGCCCTCAACACTTCAGCGATGGGACAGTCACAGCCACTCTGGGCAACCTGTTCCAGTGCCTTACCACTCTCACAGTAAAGAACTTCTTCCTAATATCTAATCTAAACCTAGATTCCTTCAGCTTAAGGCCATTGCCCCTTGCCATATCACTACATGCCATTGTGAAACGTCCCTCTCCAGTCGGTCCATGACATGTTCTGACTTGCAAGGATGGATGACATAGGGCCCCAACTCTGTCCCATCAAACTGGTATTTCCTGCTATGACAGAATATGTGAAGTTTGTTGCGTCTCCAGCAACTTGTTCAGCAATGGAGGGAGCACTGTGTTATCAGGTGAGAAACCATCAGAGTACAAATAGGGTAAGCATGGGGATTAGCAATTTTGTGATGACTCTGATACTGAATGCAGATGGGAATGCAACGGACTGAAAAGCTGATCCTATAAGCAGTGCATGATTTTCTGCTTCACTTCACAGACACTGGAAGTAGAGAATATCAGTTCATTTGTCCTTGCTGCAAAACAGGATTGCTTCTTGCAGAAGGTTTAAATGCTTTTAACTCCCTTGGGAGACAAATGACCTGAACCTAGCTGAACTTATATTTGAGAATTTTGCCCCATATTATTTTTTCCCAACAGAAAGATGATTGCAATGTATCACTTTAAGAACTAATGTTCAAGCAGTTACTCACATGTGCTTTCTGAACAAGTGAAATAAATGCATTTAGTCATGCTTAATGCATATAAGTAGAGCTTTTATATGCCTTGTTTAATTAAATCCTTTCAAAATTAAACCAAATCACTTCTTGGAGAAATGTAACAATTCACATGTATTACGTTGGATCATTAAGAATACTTGTGCCAGTGTACCTGCTGTACCCTGAAGGCAACCCTTACCTATGGTAGGGAAGAATGAGACTGGCATGCAGCAGTACTTACTTTCTGTCCCAGCATCCCAAGTGCTCTTCCTGATGGAGTCACAGTCAGAGCGACAGGGAGACACGGCAGGCAAGTTTGGAGCTACACTGCACACCACCACTCCTCTCCTGGCTGTCAGTATTCGAGGGGACTCAGGATGAAACGTTGTCATCTCCTGGTGCTCTACACCAAGCCCATCCACTATCTTGTCCAGGTTATTCCGTGAGTCACTCTGGAAGCATGGGGTATAGGCCATGGGCCTCACTGGGACCTGTGGAGGCCCAACCTCTTGGTAGATATTTCTGCTGTCTCCACTGTTCCTGATGTTCTTGAACTGGATGCCATTGCTCTTGTTGAGCAGGGCAGCAGTAGCCGGATCCTGTACAAGCGTGATGTTGTTGCGGGAATAGTTCTTCCTGAAAACTTTCTTGCGGAAAATGATGAAAAGGACGATCAACACGAATATGACAAACAGGACCACGGCTATTCCTATCAGTTCCTCCTTGCCAACGTACGAATGCCCAGCTTGTATATTGGGAACCACCACGGGGCGAAGACCACAGTATTGACCCACATAGCCAGGAGTGCAGTTACACAGAAATGAACCAAATATGTTGACACAGGAGCCACCATTTTCACATTCTTCTCTTTCACACTCGTTGATGTCTTCTTCACACCTTAAAATAAGAAGAGTTTGGAGTTTGGAGAACATCTAGCAAATAATCCAGCTTGTGCATGATGACTTATCTTGTCAAAGTCATGCCATTAGTTAACACCTTGCTGGTACATAGTAAATGATCTTATTATTAGCATATTATTTAAAGGTATTAATTTTTTCCAACAGCTATTCCATGGGGGTATTTTTAAGACAATAAAATGGAAACATCAAGAAGGAAGTAAGAGTTTAAAGCATCTGACCAGAAAAGGCTCCTTGACCCCGAAGAGTCTCACTGAATGTAACAGAGAGTCTCTGCTTTTTTATATTGTTTTTGGACTACCACATGGGATTCAATACAAAATATTTGGAGGATTCAAGGAGAAGATAGTTGAGAAAAAATATAGCAAAACCATCAGTGTACTTATTTAAAAGAAGAGAAGATTATACTGTAAAATTATTTAGGGCTGGAGATGAAATGAGCAAATGTTAGAGAGAAAGGGAAAAAAGAATAGGAAACCTAAAGAAAGACAAGAATTGGAAAGAACAAGAGGTGATAAAACACACCGCAAAAAGTACAAACAGTAGACAAACCAGATGAGAAAAAAGCATGGTGATGGGGGATTTTCTGTGTCTATACCAAGTATATGATCAAGGCAGGGATTTTTAAAAATGAATGCAATAAATTAGCCTTTTATGTCAGGCTAAGGTGACTAAGTAATTGATCCATTTTCAAAACAAAGATTACATAGCAGCTTCCACAGGTTTAATGGGATTGCTCAAAAAGCTGCCAACACTTAGGTATATGTCAGTGAAAACTGTCTGGAGATAACATCCTGAACAAACAATATAGGAGGCTAAGTTCAGTAAAACATTTCTGAGCAAGTCTCATGAATTTCTCAGTTGTCATTAGCTTAGACTTGAAATAAGCACTATTTGGGATTATTTTTTGTGAGGTGAATCATAGCCTTTGGGTACAATATGCTTGATCAAAAAGCCCCCCAACACTGAATCAAAAGTCTCCTGTTGCCCACCTGGGGAGGGATACTTACGTTACTCCCGTCAGGCCATTTTTGCAGTTGCAGATGAAAGCGTTGCCGATGGGATCACAAGAGCCTCCGTTCCGGCAGGGATTTGGGAAGCAGGCTGTGATCTCTGACTCACAATTCCTTCCTGTAAACTGGGAGAGGCAATTGCAAAGGTAGCCTAGGAGGTGAGGGACAGAGAAAGGGAAATTAGAATCTGACCACTGAGTCTCTCTAGAAGCAAGGGGACCCATTTGGTTGCTTTACACCAAAAAATACATTGTACTGTGCTGGGAAAGGGATGCTTATACTCATTCTGGTCTGTCCATGTGGTCAGCGCTAATGCTAATCAAGAGTTTGTTTATCTGGGATGTCCAGGCATTTGCTGCTCATGTCTACAGCCAGGGACCAGAGGAACTGGTGCAGCCCAGACCACCCTAATTGTCATGGAATCATCAAGGTTGGAAGAGACCTTTAAGATCATCAAGTCCAACTGCCAACCTAGCACTACCACTGTAACCCCTAAACCACTAAACCATATCATGATTCATATAAGAATAAATGTCCATGAACAACTTTGGTAACAAAAAATATTCTAGATCAAGGATGCATTTCCCAACATTTTTCAAAATACAGACCATATTTGCTGATACCGGCAGCCCAGACTACTTTTGGGGCTTCACTGAAGAACAAATACATCAGCTGAGAGATTTTCCACATCTCCCCTTCACAAGGATGATACAGTAGCAATGTGACAGTAACAAAACACCATTGTCATACAGTCCATCACCCAGGCAGTAACTATAAACTTCAGAATACACGCTGACCTGGACAATGCCAGCCATAATCAGAGATGATTTTGTGCTGTGTGTGCTATCAAAAGTCTGATTAATCATCGGCTGCAAAACATCAGACATAACACCACTCAAGTGCAGTGGGACCCTATCAAGGATCAAAGTCCTATTTCTATGCTTTTTGTCAACACAGGAGCAACATCAAAATTTAAAAAACAGTTTTGAAATGCATCAGTTCACCCTGCCAAGTATCAAGTGACAAACCTCTTTACTTTTTTTCCTCTCCTTGTGATTTCATATGGCACAATGCTATTAATAAAACCTTTATTTAAGGTCACAAAGAAATCCAATGAGGATCCAGCATCTCTTTATGTTGTGAACTGGATATGGAAATGTGAAAAGAGCAAGGAACACGTAGGTGGTGAAAATGATTAGATGGCTAAGTCAGTCCCTGGGATGAAAAGACTCCTAGATTAGAGTCATTGAACTAGGAAAAGTTTCCTGGACGTCTGTAAAATAACTTTGGCTGATCATTTGAAAAACTCCTTACACAATCCAAATGTCCCAAATAGATGTACAGGCAAGGTTCAAGCTCCAGTTGAGGGGTTCACATACTTACTGAATATAGCATATTAAGCAGCTGGAACAAGGAACCTTCCTACCATTAATACTGCTGGAGTTAGAGCTGAAATGGTTGAGTGCAACTCAATTAAGTGTCAAAATTATGGGAGATCAACTGATGCAGTGGAAATATCATCTCTCAGTAGTGAGCCTTTTAAACATATTTTGAAAAACTTTCTATATCTATACATCTGGTAAAAAATAAAATACTTCTTGTAAAAGACACTCATTCAGCAAACATGTCAGGAATTTCCAGCACAGTTACAAGGAAAAGAATTTCATGGAAACAATATGGAAAAGCCCAGTGGAGGCATAAGTCAAAAACAATTCCGCATTAGACTCCCGCATCTTTTATGTCCTATCCAGTTCAATTTGCCCTGTTCCGTTACTCTAATTGAATTCTTTCATGGGGACAGGCTTTTGAGAACAAACTTGGAACCAAACTTACTGGTGTACTCAGTCAAGAGTCCAATCCTATTTAATTGAAGATAAATGAAATAGATACTCAACTATCATGCTGTTTCATTGTCAGAGCAGAAGCACTGCTGTTTTCAAGGTTGCAGAGTCAAGAAGATAAATTATTCAACTTTCAGGCTTCCTAGAAAGCACATTTAGTTGGCATCAGCAAGATGGGATTATTTCTTTTTGCATCTTATAAATATCTCACTCAGACAATGCGAACAGCTTTCTGGATCTGTGGAGATCTGGGACTGAGGAATTACAAACCTGTGACCGTAGGTAGAATTCACAGCATGAATAAATAAGGCTGTTTCAGTGCTTCATTTTATGACTGAACAGTGACATCTATAGTTCAAAATTTACAGTAATGTTTTTTATGGTCTCAATGAGTTTAAGTGAAATGAAAATGTTAAAATTCAAATATGAAACATTTTATTCATAATCGATTGTGTTGCCTTATATAACAGCAGGATATATATGTTATTCTATTTGTTAGCTGATGTTTTGAACATCAATAACTTTAAAGTGGCATTAAAAGCTAACTTTCTGTTGTTTTTAACCAAGTTGCTAGGTGCTTGTAAGACAAAACCTTCGAATCACTTTGTTTTCATGTCTTATGTTTGTTTTAGCTAAGTTGCAGGTTCTCACTCTGTAACATATTCTATTTACATTTATTCATTACGGAAAATTTAAGAAGCATTGATTTGATTAAAAAATACTTTTACCACCGAGTATAAAAGGAACAGGGATTTATGCATTTTAAACTAAGAGGATATGAAACTGAATGCTCCAGATGGGTCAGAGTCCTGTTTGGCAATGTATAAATGAACAAAAATGAAGAGTGTGCTTCTGAAAGCCTACATTTTACACTGAACTTGATCTAATTATGGTGGAACATAGTCAGATATTAGAAGACTGAAGCATTCACCATCATCTAAGGATCAAAAGTAGAGATAAAAAAGGCACTAAAACAAGACAGTATTAAATTACCATATTTATCACTGACTTTTCCTCTCACTGGAAGCAGTGCCATACACCCGCCAAGTCTGAGCCACTGGCAAAAGACACAATTTTTCTGTGACACACATGCTGAGAGCTGTAGAGTGTTCACCCAGGAGGTCTCCAACACAGCAAAGCATATATCAAAATTCATGAGTAGGGAAGTGAAGAGCTGATATGATGGCTCAGTACACAGTATATATCGTCTTGGCCAGCAGACTTGCCAGACCTCTAATCCTTCTCCAAACCTCTCAGCAGAGGCTGTCATTTTGCCTGCTAATGCATGTTTTAGCCACATGGCCGTGGACAAAGGTCAATTGGTTAGGAGTGCATCTTGGGTTTAACAAATAATTTTTATTATACTTTTGATTTAATATTCCAGTAATGTATCATGCATTTCTTCCCTCCCATTTGACAAAAGAATGGCAAGCAAACTTCTCACATGCAAGGACAATAAAGCTGAAGAAAAGGCTCAGTGCCCTGCCCTCTTAGCAGGGGATGAAAAAACCCTTTAAAGCAAGGTAGGGCTTGATCCTGTTCACAATGAAGGCCCCAGAAGACTTGGAAATTCATCAGCATTGAAGATCATACAGTCCATCTGAGTTTCCACCAAGAGATAAGAATATTTCATTTTGCACAATGATGGTGGAAAATGTTGATCTGCATTCTCCAATGCACCAAATTTCTACCAAGGGTACCAGTAGAAAAAGATATAAAGCTCAGGAAAACAGCTCTGCAGTGCTGCTAGGGTGGGACCAGAACACCCACAGCATGTGCCACAGTTGTCTGGTCCAATAGCTCACCTAAAAGCAACAATAAACTATGAGCAATGATACAGCTGTTTTAGGCTGTGTCTACACTAACAAGCAAGCAACAGCTGTGGGTCTGTTGAGCAAAACGGTTAGTGCAGCACCCTCACTGCACATGATACAGGGCCTTGGGATCAGTTAGCTGCATGCCTGGTGCATGTCTTCCAGCTCAGCCTGGTCCTGCCCTCTGATACATCCTTCATCTCTCCACAGTGGGAATTGAAGCACAGAGAGAGGGGAAGATCAGAAGATTCACATCAAAGTTCATTCATGACCTAAAACATTGTGTAGACACAGCCCTTTCCTGCTTACACAGAGTCTTGGGCTTACTGGTTGTTTTATAAGACTTCTCTCATGCTCCTCCACTAATCTGACTCTTCTCTATGTAGCTAAATCCGACCTTCTCACTTTGACTCCAACAGCTTCTCTTACTGCTTTGTTGGCATGTCCCTATCCAGAGGAAAAGGTCTTTTTCAGCCCAGACCTTACCAAAGAGCAACATGCTGTAAGTGAGAACACTACACAGGCTTCCTGCCTATACCTATGTTTGCTTGGCACTTAAGAAGCAGAGACAGTGGCAAAAGGCAGGCACGGTGCCATCAGCAGATGGGGTGCCGTTATGTAGCGAACATCTCTGTTGGTAGCGTTCCCAGCCTGAGCATCTGAATGTCTGTCTATCCTCAGGTTTACTTGGCTTTATTCAAGAGGATGCTCCGAACCGCTGCCAATTCTTGTTTTGAACATGTGTATTCTCCTGTTTCTATCCATCCCATGAAAGAGAAGCTGGCTTTTATCTTTTACATGCTTTGGCTTTTGCATTTGCTCTCCCTGTGTAGATTCTTTCCCTGCTGTGCATCTAGACCTGGCAAACTCAATGTCCAGAAACAGCCCTGCCCGTGGCATTGCTCACATAGCATTACATGGCAAGTTAACTGATGACAACTGAAGGTGAAGAAGACCTCTCCCCACATTTGTATTTTGCTATGTTTATAGTCAAACCAGGCCGCCTCCACAAAGTGTGTGTTCTTCAGACATACATATTCCTGATACTTCAGATTTAACTTATCTGTCTTCCAATAGATGACTCCTCCTCGCCACTTGTTGGTATCAAAATGATCCACAGTCTTTGCTGAAGTGGTGCTTTCTATGAAAGGACTGGCATGCATGTGCTTTTAAATTGGGAATTTAAATCCAGATGCCTAAAACCATAGCTATAAATCAGATTATACCCCCAAAAATGTCTAAAAAACTTATACAAATTAATTGATGTACATTTGGTATACTCGCATTACCGTGTGCTGGGTTGCCTGTATGTGTGAAAGAGCAAGACCAAGAACATTAGTAAGACCAGGTCAGTTCATGACTATGGTATTATTGCATCCATTTTTCCCTGATGTCTTTATTATGAACTATCCAATCCTCAAAAAGAGATGTGTGTCAATGTTGTCAACATAACTTAAACCATGTATTAAAACCACCACCCAACTGTCAGGTTGCATTTTCCCCCCCCTTTGGATTTTAATTCTTCATGAAAAAGAAAAAGAAAAAATGAAGAGAGGGGAATGCAATGATTTTCTGCCCTCACACTCTGCCCACAGTCCTTGACTCAGTAGATATTTATGCTCAAATGCTTCATATTCAAATAAAATTGCCTACTCATACAAGCCATTTAGTTTAATCAAACACATATGTATATAGGACTGATCAAATTTAAAGGAGGTAACTATACTTACAATTGCAGGCTTTAGAAGCACGAGGTTTCTCTCTGTGGTTGAAAACCTTGGTGCAGTGTTTGCATTCGATTACAGTAAAGCTTTCTATTGCTGAGATTGCTCATGCTGTTCCTCATGCAGATAAACATACATTTACTATCGGCAGACCTAGTAGCACCACACTATTATTAAGGTTGTGTGACATTTCCCATTTTAAGATCTCATATTCAGCAGCTTATAGCTTAACCACACTTTAAACACTTGGTTGCTATTTCTTGGGAAATTTCAGGTCAAAGAGCCAAGCTGTTTCTGAAAGTCATGCTGTTTGTCAGATTTCAAAACACTGACAACTTTCTTCAAAAATAGCTTTACTGACCCATATTTATGGACATGGACTAAAAAGCCTGGAAGAACATGCCCTATACTTCAGGGCTGTGGTTTCCACTGTCTCCCAAGAAAATTGTCCTCAAACTGTGTATCACTTTCTGCTACGAGTTTCCTGAGCTGTCAGACCTAGTGAGTGCTCGTTCTCCTCTCCCACCCCTGTTTAAACATGCATGGGATCTTCCTGTAGGGTCTCCAGACACACAGTAGCCTCTCTTAAACCACTGACATCACTGGCCATACATTACGGCTGCAGGACACGATTCAGACCTGTGGAAACACAGGAGTGCAAGCAGAGGTTCATGTCATGGTCGCTTTATGCTGGCCCAGAAACCAGACTTTGAAAGCAGAGAGGATTTTCTGTACTTTGAGATAACTCACCTGAGCTCCCTATGCTTTCTCCCACAGGTGAATTCCCATTCACTCCTGTTCCATGTACAGAGAGGTCAGACAGAAAGAGCCAGTGTGGGTCAACTTAGCCCTGTGCCAGCTCTCCTTTGGGGCAACACCTCTGTGGTCAGTCCATGAACAGCACTGCCTTGTGCCAGGTGCTTTGAAACTGCTGGGAATTTATCCATCCAAATCCTAACAGCATGGACACACTCCTGGCGCATACAAAGCATCACTTTAGCACTTCCTCTAACAGGGCCATAATATTATCCTATTCCCATAACTGCAGGATGAAGCGGAAGGTAACCAGAGGCAGCTTTTTATTAATGGTGAACAGGGCAGTAACCATTTCTACTGAAAGGAAGATCTCACAACAGGAATACTATTATGGAGGTCTGTGCTGTATATGTTCAATTTATGCAAATTATATGTAAATTAGACATGGACCCTTTGACTTCTGGCATGTAGCCAGCAACTCTTTCATGTTATAATGCTGGGTAACCTTTGCTTCACTGTTTTCTTCTAAAGTTAGCTATAAATCCCAGCTTTCTTTTTCTCTCTCCTAATTTTCTTGTAAAGCACAGTAGGGTGTTTGTAAGAAAAAAGGATGCTAACAGTATATGAAACTTGCTTTGTAAAATTTAAATTAGAAGATTTATTTATTAAAACAAATCTTATCATTATGCCAAATACTGTCTGTTTAGGAAAAGGAACATTATTCTCCGAAAACTTTAATAGGAGGATAATATTACAGAAAATACTAGTCAAGAGATCCTGATGCTACTGAATGCCCTGGGACTGGGAAAAGGACCTCTGCATGGTATATTTTTGAATGCTTACCCTCACCAAAAAAGAAAAAAAGCTACTGTTTTCATTCTTGAGATTAAAAAATGAAGAGTTGTTTGGTTTTTCTATTCTAAATGGAAGTCAGCTGCCAACATCTATGTCAGCAAATGCAATGGCTGATGGTTCTTAAATGCACACTGCAATTTGTGGTTCTGCAACTAGTATTTGCAATGCTGTTGGACTCTGAGCTCTTAGAATTTAATTACGTGTCCTTTTTGCGTACGGAGGACACTAACAACAGAATTGCTTTGCCTAGTGAAAGCAAAAATGCCCATGCCTTCTCCTTTTGGGCTGGGCTGTAGAACCACCAACATACAGTCAGGGCCCATTGCACTGAAGTATGGCTTTATAACAATCCTTTATTTACATACACTGCTGAGGCAGTAAAAACAGCAAACAGATTTTTTTAACGGCAGGCAGCCAAAACATCCCTGTAGGGTACATGCCCCTCACCGAGGCAGGAACGCAGGCAAGTTAAATCAGTTCCGTGACCGCTTTCCAGCGGCAAATTTTGTTGACATGAAAATGGTGTATGCCATTCCTGTAATAAGATGGGTCCAATCTTTGGTGCCATTGTTCCTCCCCCACCCCATGTCTCCCCTCAGTTTGAATTGGCATGCACATGGCGCTGGGGAAAAAAAAGAATTGCTGTGAAGCATTTTGTTAGAAAGGTTTCAATTTACTCATTATGAGATTGCTGAGCAATACTGTAAATAGACTCAAATAAAATCAATAGAAGGAGCTGTTCGCATGCTTCCTAGGATGTGAGGTGAATGGTTCACCTCATTTATTAAGTATGGAGTCTGAATCAAAGCCATGTTACATTCATGTACATACCACAGCCATATTTCCTAGGGATTTAAATAATCAGGCTTAGAAGTTCTCTCAGTGGCCACAGCATCTTTCTGCCTCAGAATGATTTTCTTTTGCCCTTGTTGTGCAGCCCTCTTTTTCTTTCCTTCCCCTGGTAATTAAAGATTCTTAAAGACACACACAAGCAGCAACATTTCTGCTCATGCTGCACATCAAACCCTGGCTTGCCAGGGCTGTGCTTCATTCCTCCCAACTGTCCTTGTCTCCTTCCATCAACAGCGAAACTGATAGCATCCCTGATGCATCATTTGCCATGGCATAGGAGAAGAGGTGGCTGAATCAAAGCCAAGGATCCAGAGGGGATGCTAGCTGAGACAGCCCAGCATGGACAAATCCACATTGCCAGGGCTTACTCTCTAAGAGTGGCGCTATCCAACTGAGAAACTTGTGACAGTTTTGCTTAGATCTCACCAGATGTCAGTCTTGAACTGATCTCAAGTTTAGGCCTAAAGTTTAGAAAAATCTATGTGGCAGAAGGGAGTTAGAAAGGAAATATGAGAACAAGGCTTAAACTAATGAGAACCAGAAATAATAACTAGGGGTGCAAGGGAACTGCATGGGTACATTAAAGCAGAAATCCCTGGGACAGTGGTTAAATGCTCCATAAAACAAAAGTTTAGTGGGAACTTCCTGAGGGAACCCTGACCAAAACCCCTGACAATAAGTGTATGGAAAGCTCTGAACTTGCAGAAAACCTCTCTGTTGAGCATCCTCCTTTTCAGAGGAAGTTTAGTCTGCCAGAAAAGGTGTGCAATGCCACATGCTAATACAATCTGGGGAACTGAAAAGGAAACCTGAAAACTGCAGAGAGAGAACAGCCCTAGAGGGAATGTCCTACACCTATGCCAATTACTTTTCTCCTGCTAAGATGCTGGCTGTTCTGGTAACTTGTGCACTGCAGTAAGTCACTGGCATCAAATCACACAAACCACCACATAACCACTGGATAGGAAACTCCAACACAAGCACAGTTTAAATCGATGCCCTATAAACTTTGGATAATATTATTTAGACTTTCAAGCTCTCAGTCCTCCAAGGAAGCTGTAAAACACACTTCGCAGTGGGGTTTCTAATGGGGCCAACTTGCTATTTTCCATGCACACGTAATCAAATTATTCACTTACAAAAAGAAAGAAGGTGTTCGCGGACAGCTCAGCAATTATTTGCGACAGCTTCCAAAACAGAGTAAGACAACAATGCTTCTGCATCTGTGATGAAGGTTTGAAATCACCATCTTTGTGTACAGCCTCCAATGCTGTAAGGATGCTGTAAATGGATCCTGAAAAATCCAGCTGAGCATTACAGTAATTGTAATTCTATTGGTTTCTATAGAAATAGGATTATCCTAACAGCCAATAAATCAATTTCCTCCTGGAACACTAATGCAATAAGAAGGGGCACCATTTCACTGTTATTTATAGAGCAAACAGCTTTTACCCAATTTGCAATACCTATCAGAGTTTTATAGAGTTCATGAGATTTTTCAAGCATGTTGCTGCATAAAACCATCTCTGGCAATAAATTATAGAGGAAAAGAGGGAGGGGGAAACACGTAAAGTAATGAAAATATTTACCACCAGATGGCACGGCAGTACAGGTGCCGCCGTTCTGGCAGGGATGTCTCTCGCAGGCGTCGGGATAAAGGACACAGCCAAGCTTCAATTCTGTCAGGCCAACCACTTCTGCGAAGCTGCTGCGCTTGTTCTGGAGTGGCAGTTCATTGTTATTTAGGACAACTGAATCCAAGCAGCCCTGAAAGCCACTCAAGACCTGTGTGGTCCTCTTGTCAGTCAGGCTGCGAACGTTATCCACTTGGACCTGGGCACCGAAGTAGACAGAACTATCTGTGCTGAGAGTCTGAAAATAGAGAGGGGCTTTGCGGCGCTCCACGTAGCTGTCATCCAAGGACAAGCTTGTGAAATTGCGATTCAGCTCCAGGAAGACTGAATGCCAGCTTCCATCATTAACTGCTCTGCCAGAAATTCCCAGAATTCCTGGGCCATTTCCGCAATCCAACTGGAACCACAGTTTGCCATCGACAATCTGCAGGAGGAAAACAGAAACTAAACCACTTCAGGCACTCAGCGGTCTCATAACACACTCTCTCAAAGAATCTGGAAACACAGAGGAGTTCTGGACAGTCTCTATACAGTGTTAAAGCCACTCTCCCACATGACACTAAAGCAGTAAAAAGCTGTGCCTTTATTATCAGAAAAAAAAGTTAATATCAGCTTACCATGATAAGCCAATTACTGCAGGAACACTGAAAATATAGAAAAATATACAGATCCGGAACACAGGCAAAAACTAGGATAACAATATGTTTTACTGAAGAGGGTATGGACTGGAGCAGTTGTGCTCTTGGCTCTGCTGCTGAACAGCTGTGTCTCTCTCAGCAAGTCCTGTCACACACACATGTGCTGTGATTTTGCTCCCAATGGCTGATGCTACCAAAAGGGCAGTCAGGGCATGGGATCACCTCTGAATGGTTGAGTGAAGGTTGTGGCAAAGTCAACGGCCACTGCTTTCAGCTGGTGATGCTAAGTACTCTGCTCATGGACACATCTTGTGCTTCTGTAACCTTTTGGAGAATCTCAGCAAGGTGTGGAGTTGACCCTACGTGTCATAAGTTCAGTTTCTCTAATTACAACAGTAAGATTCTGGTTGATCAAAAGTCAGTTATTTTCCAAAGATGCTATACTACCTGCTCAGTATATACCTCATAGATGACATAAGATGGCTCTTACTTTTCTTTCTTTTCTCATATTTATGCTGGGTTCATGGCTTCAGAGAGACTGTAGAGGATCTCTCTCTCTCCTTCCTGTCCCTCACCCATCTTAAGACCTCATAAAGGGAAAATCTGTGCTGGTCTGCTGGGGCAGGCAAAGTGCAGAGCGAAGGGATAGGTATGAACTGCTGCTTTCCTGATTAGCAGTTTACCCAAAGATTTTAGGTTTCTCTAACAGATGGCAGATAAGTTTAAAATGGCTGACAAGGCTGGAAATAATTTCTTGTGACACATTAATTGGATTCAAGCTCACTGAAAGCTCTTGCAAGTATTTTACCTTTATGTCATGCTCTAGGAAGTATTTATTTCTGCAAATCCCATCTCAAGACAGTTCTGTCCCATTATTTATCCCCTTGAAAAGTTCAGGCGCTGTGTCCTTTTTCATCCTTCCCTGCAGCACACATTGTCCTCTCACTAGTGTATCCATAATGCAGCCTGACTTCTACCTCCCATCAGAGCAGAGTTGCCATAGCTGTCAATGCAAGAACCCCTGCAGAGCTTTGGTGGCCTGCTAAACTGGCATGGCTAATGCAGATGTGAGGATGCTGCACTGTGGCCATCTGCCCTTGGCCGTGTTTTTGCCATTTCTAGCATGAATAGTCATTTAAAACTGTGTTAGCAAGAGACATTTCTTGGCATGTGTCTGAACTGGTGCTCAAACTCTTCTCTGCTAGGGTCTCTGATGTGGCTTGAAGGTAAATGGGAAACTGTTAATCTACAGAAGCAGACTGTGCTGTAGTGTGATTATCAGCATTTTATGTCCTTGGCTTGGCAATTGGCATGGACACAGAGGTGTTAAGCATGTGGCAAACTCCCTATGAATGCCAACTACCTATTTACTCTGCATGGCATGAGGCGTGTAGAGGGATGAATACACATGCAGAATGAGGCAATGGAGGGAGCTAGAATTAGCCCCAGCTATGAGCAGCTGGCTCTTTTGAAGTCCCTGACCTGTAGGATGTAATGAAACTGAAGAGAAATCACATCTATGATTGTAATACAACATGCTTGAGAGATGGATGTTGCTTGGTACACCTACAGCTCAATCAAAAAAAGGCTAATGGTTGCATAGAAAAATGAGTCTGGATCATTCTACATTAAAAAATCTTTTCTTACAGGACTCAAAACTCAGCCATAAACTATTTCTGTAGATTGAAATTGGGTCTGTTAAAGCACATTCTCAGGAGGAATCTCAGTAAACAAGATGCCCTGATAAACTGAGCTGTTTCTCTCCAGAGATGGAGAAATAGTTTCTTTTCTCTCTGTGCAACAAAATAGTCCATAAAACTTGAAGGTGCTGCTCAGAAAGTGTGGTCTGGCTCAACAGGAATACAAATAAAACTGAAAAATACATGCCAACACATTACACTTTGAAAAACAGCCATCATTGGGTAGGTGGCTAACTTGCTGCTTATTCAAAAGGTTTTTTCCTATGGAAACTCTTCTACTGATTCTGTATAACGCACATATACCTCCCCTAAGACTACTTATACCCTGACGGACCTACTGCTTGCATGTCTATTACCCTTACTCACAGAACATGTTTTTCCAATTATCTTTATAAATACAACACCACATATGAGCACCTGGGATAAATATTACACCATTTCTGAACAGGAAATGATGATCTAAAAGATTTGCCATTAAAATATGTTTTATACATCTTTCTCATCTACTTTTATTTCTTTTTACCAGCAGATGATCTGACATACACAGTAAATATATATTGTCTGAAAGGTTAAGTTTCCTTCCTTTTATTAAAGAAACACTAGAAACCCTAACCTCAGGCTAGAGTGAATGATGGAAAGGATGGTCTGATGCTTACAGTACTAGCCTAAGACATGATAGATTTGCATGGGAATCCACACTCTGAAACACTCTTCCTTTGGGGTCTCAAGCAAGTCATTAGTTTCAGGTCTCCATCAGTAAAAAAGGGATAACGTCATTTCCCTATCTCACACCATTGCTTTACAGATACATACGTTAAAGACTGTGACATGCCCAGATACCCCTAGCAGTGGGACCATAAAACTACGTTGATTAATCAGATGGTCACAGGCCTTGCTGTAGAGGGGTTGGGAGGAAATACTTGTCCCCTGATGGCCCCATGCCCCGAGGAGGAGGAAAAAGAACAGTAACAGCTGGCAAGGAGCAAGTACTGCAGAGGGCTCCTTGACCTGACTACTTAGTAGCTAAGCTGTCTGGGCACAAAGGAGAAGGTTCTTCCACTTAACAGGAAAAAATGCTGTCTCCATTCCTAAGCAGAGAGAATTCAACCATCATTCAGCAATTAATCCCTGGTTTTCCTATGATTTCTTGTAACTACTGTGATGACAAAACCACTGCTCAGTCCTGAGAGGTGGCTCTTTGATTCTAGCCTGGACCTTGGTACCAAGAAAAGCTGAACTTCAAGTTAACTTCTTACTAAATGAGGTACATTCAAACAAACAGTATTGAAATCCAATGAATGGCCAATGCTCTTGTCCAGGCTCAGAAGTTATCCAGACAGTAACTTCAATGGAATGGCTGGTCTGCTTGAGAGCTGGTAGCATCAGACTATCAGTTCAGGACTAAATGTGTGGCATTGTTTTTTTCTCCATCTAGGTAGTCCAACACAGCAGAGAGCTTGAGCTACTCCATACCACAGCAGAGAAATGCAAACTCTGCAGCCCCTCACCAGTACAGCCCATGGCACCAGCAGAGACCCTCTGTACCAAGATGAAAGGAGAATGACACTGCTTCATCCTAGCTGGGCAGAAAATTCCCACCAAGCTTCCACTTCTCAGAGCATTATAAGCTCAGGGTTTAGTTACAGTCTCAGTTATAACAACAGGAAGCTTAATGCATACTTAAGCATATATGCTCTTAGAGCCACAAAATTCCTCACCTGTAGAAAAATAAAAAGAACAGAGAAGGCTCCAAAAGCTGATGCAATCTGTTACATTTCAACAATTTCATTCATGAGCAAAATGGAGCCAAACACATATTGTAAATTATATTAGAATATTAGCCTGGCTAAGATGTTTGGCTAACATCCATATTTGTGTATCAACATAGGTAATAAAATGATCAAATGGTTCTTCTGAGACCACCTCCAGCTCACACAGTCCATCTGTAGTCATACACCACAGATACAGCATGCTGCCTCCTAATCTATCTGGGGAAATATTTCGTTAGCTGAATTACATTCCAGGTTCGTTTGTGTAAAACGGTGTATTTAATTAAAATATTACTCGTTTCAACTCCAGCCATAACTGGGATCACATCCAAGCTCCAGTCTTATCCAGCATAAGCCATGCAACAGTAATGCATTAAAATGTATAATATACTCTTAACTAAACCACGCAAAGTTTCACATTAACTGCCTGGACGGAAGAACATATGCTTGCCATTTTACCATTCAGCAGCTATATTTCTGGCATGAGGGTAAAGTCTTTCTTCACTTATTTTTAATCCCTAAACTTTCACAAAACAAGTTGCATCTCCACTACCTTCTTTGAAAAAAACAGAGATAAATTATGGAATTCTCCTCCGCAATGGCCTCGTAATGCTTTATATTGTTAAGTCCTACTTTTCCCGGTTAGATGCTACATAGGTAAAAAGGAAATGGTGGTACTGTTTTTGGCACATGCAATCTTTTCAGAGGGATAAAAAAAAAGGCCATTGACCTGCATATCATTTTGCCTCAATTGTCTTAAAAGCAAGAGCACGCAACAAAAAAATGGCCAACCTCTCAAAAATCGATGGGTAAGTTGCTTTATTTGAAACAGCTGAATAAATAACACCCTTATTATATTGTATCAATACAGTGTAGCTGGTAGGCTTTCAGCAAAGTAGTGCAGAAGCAGTTTGCTCTATGGAATTGATTATTCATCCAAGAAGGACGCTGTGTTATGATTATGAAATATTTCCATCCCTGGAGTTATCACAAATGTATGAGCTCCCAAAACTAAGCTGGTCATTTAAACACTGAAAACCATATTGCAACATTAATTTTTAAATAGACGGCCGTGGGAGAGACTTGCTTCAAAACAATCTGTGCCACTGTATGCCCCAACAGCAGTGGTGTTTTCTGCCTGTCCTCCTGTGAGCTCACACACCGTGGGTCTAAATTTCTTCTACCTCTGCCTTTGTTCGGAGCTCATTGATAGTGCTGGGCCCTCTGGTGATAATCCAGCAGATACTTAAGTACACGCTTAAAATTAAGGTATGTGAGTAGTTCCACTTGCCTTCAAATATAGGAAGTTAAGCAAGTGATTAAGTGCTTTGCTGGAGTGATGCCAGGGTGCTCAAAAGAGCACAGGATTCCATCCTTTATCTTCTATTTGGAAAGCTTCTCCTCATGTTTAATTTAATTGAAAGCAATGCTCAAATGATAACAACTTCACATTTATAGACCTCTAATTAATCTACTTAATGGCCTCATTTCTGAGTGCCTCTGTATCTCACAACATATGTACCTGGTTAAAGAAAAAAAAAGAAGTCTTGCCTCTGGTTTATAAATAAAAAACCCCATACACTTAGAAAGTCTAAGCATGGCTTACTTGAAAACATGAGTTAGGAATCCTCCCAAATCTGATGAGTCAGCTGTCACCCCTGAAGAGACCCAGTAGGGTTAAATCTCTTGAGTATGATGCCATTTGTCTGCCACAGAGCACTTTCATGTGACCTTAGCCTGATATACCTGTGCTAAAAGATCTTCACAAACAAAAATCTGGCAATTAATGATCTTTTAAGTGATGCCATTTCTTAAAAAACTGTGCTAAATGTAATGACTTAGTTTTCTTTAAACCCTATGCATATAGAAGCCATGGGGCAGACCTGGGAAAAGGACATACACACTCCAACAGTGAATCCCGCCCCATGTAAGACCACCCTTCCCGAGGAAGGGAATTCCCTGTGAGCTTCCTTGCTCAATGCATAGGAGAAAGCAGAGGCTTAGCATCCATATATGACCCTGGACCTCACTCATCAGATATAGAAGGTGGTAGCTCTATCTGAAGTTCTCTACTAAGTTCTGCATGAGATGGGTTCAGAGCTGGAAATAATTTCTTAGAGCTAGGAAGCAAAACAGAGCTTTGCCTGGAAGTTGGCCTCTGAGATTGCAGCAAATAGCCACAGCTCTTGTCACTACTCCTTCATGTATTATTTTTAACTCTCAGCATGTTTCAAAGCAAAATAATTAGGTGATTGTGTGAAGTGGTGATTGAAAACACATGATTCCTACATCACAACTGAAAACTCAACTCAGGTGATTGCAATGAGGGGGTCTCTTACTTTTTAATATTTTTTCTCTTTTTTTTTTAGGAGCATCACCTTTTCCTTTTTGTGGCAAAATTTATCAGCTTCAACTGGAGATTTCTACTCAGTTGCCTATGACCTGGACATGTTGTACTCCTTAACGATGAGAGCTTTCTGCACTAAATTCTAACAAAATTACTTCTCCTATCACCATTCTAACTCCATTTCAGTCTGTCTCTGTATCATCTCCTACTGTTTTCAAGTGGCACCTTCCACCAGGGCCATTTCTCTTTTTCCAAGTATTTTTCAAAATTGCAGAATTGCAAACATTACTTACTGACATATATTAAGAGCAACCATGAAGAACACTTCAATGAAGGTCTTCCAGCCTGCAGTTTTGTTTTGTGTTTTGGAACAAAAACATATACTTGAAAGTTCAAACTGCACTTCTATATGTCTCAAAGCAGAGCTTAATTGTCTTCCAAAAATCTGAACAATGCTGACAGTCCCTGGTGAATGACAGACAAGTACTCTTGCTCATGAAATATTTCAGTGTAACAGATATAAAATTGTTTGTTGCCCCTTAATAACTCATTTAGCCACTTTAACATTACCTAAGCATTCAGCCAAAAGTACTGTAAAGATTGCAAATACAGACACAAAAGGCTCTGTGCCATTTCTCCCACTACTGAATTATAGGAAATGGCTGAGTTAAAAAAGTCAATGTGTTCATTTTGTACCTTAGAGGCTATAGCAGAATACAATATGTACATGCAGGCTCTTGGATGAGACTAGTAGTCCCTCTCCATCCAGCAGATATTTGCCATTCCACAGAAACACAACAAAGAACAAAAATGCATGGAGAGCTTATCAATTAAATACTGATTTGGTATCAGTCTCCAGTGACCCCATGACTCTCTCAACAAATAATCCACAGAGTGCAGAGATCTTAGCAGTTGATTTCTGGAATTAACTTGGTAAAAGTGAGGGCATATCCTCTAACCACAGACATGGACAGAAGGGAAGAACAGCAATTTCAGTATGCTTTGTTTTGACTATATAGTCATATAAATGGCCAAATCTCACATCTCATGCAGACTGGCTTCTGCACAGACACACATAATGTTCTTATAATGAACAGCACCCAGTGTAGCATTTGCCAAGTAAAGTACCACTGACAAACTGCTTTTCTGATTGTTATTGCTGCCACTGCTGAAATTGTTGTTTTTCCCTGTTAGAATCAGACTTCATCTTGTCAATCTACACCTGAAATGAGAACAGCATTTCCCAAATCAAGAGCCAACAGACAATACAGCATCAAGATAAACAACTTCAGAAAAAGATGTTACTTTAATTACCTTCAGAATTATACAGGGGTTTGCTCTGGTGTACATTATAATCCCATTGCTTTGCAGCGTTCGCAGACGGAGAGCCAACTTGAATTCCTCTTTCTTGCTATTTTCAGAAACCCGGTATTTGATGTAGCTATTCCCAGCAAAGCTAAGGGAAGTGTGGCCTGAAATAACCATTTTGAAGAGACACATATGCTTTTAGTGACACATGAAACAATTCCTCATATGTCAAGTTAATTAAGGAATTTATAAAGTTAATGAGAATGCCTAGGAAGAAATAAATAAACCCCAACTTTGATAAGAAAAAAAAGTGTCATGTACTACAAAATATATTGTAATTCTTTTTCTAAAAATTATTTTTCACAGAATGGAGGAAAGTTCTATTTCTCTATACTTAGGAAAAAAAGGGGTTTCTCCAAGTATTCGGCATTTTTAAGCTTATGCACCCCTGGAGGCACATAACTTGCCTCACTGATAACAGTGGGAGCCAAAGATGACCATACTTGTACATCAGGCAGTTGTGTTATGGGTATAAAATTAGGTGTGGGCAGATGTCAGCCAAACCTGTGCAACCTCCCTACAACCACTGCCCAGGACCACAGCTCAGTATCTGCTGTGTTTTCATCAGGCAAATAGCACATATCCTATGCCATGCAGTCTGGGACTCACAGAAGTCAACAGAAAGCTCCACTTCACTGGCTTCCCACCTGGCCTGTCATATCCCAGGGAACAACACAGCTGCAGAGAACTAACAAATGTCCTCAAACTTTCTTTTTTGGGATGGTGTAGTGTTTTCATTAATAAAGGTTGGAATCTTGGTAATCTAAATTGTAAGCAGAAGAGTTAATTATAGAGCTTTGCCCATGGCAGGAAAACATCTGGCATAACATTCTCCAGGAAAAATCCTGTTTTCTCAGCAACGTGTTTTACTGATCTGGTATTCAAGCAAGTCAGTGGGAATTTCTAAATGGAAACTGGATTATGGTCTTCATACATCCCCACAGCTATAAAGACAGGTATTTACAGGGTTTCTATACAGATAAACCAAGTGCCAGATAAACCAAGTGCCAGTGCTGAGATGTGTTAAGAGTACATTTTCTGTTGACTTCAGTGGCACCTCTACCTACAAAATGGGCTGTGACATGCACCTGAACATTCGCCAAGCTTTCCTGGGGGGCACTGGCAGATGAATGGTCTCCGGTTAGCTTCATACCCCACACACTGCATATCCCCTGGACATGGCTTCTCCAGACAGGGATCGTTAGACCCTGGGCAGAGTCCTCCTGCAAGAAGTTAAAATACTGTCAGAGATACACGGTGTAAAGCACAATTTGCTGCAATACAAGAGTAATGAAAGACAGTTATTGATCTCACATGTCAGTATAAGCAAAGAATGGCTTAATAAAAAAAAACCAACAAAGCCATACCCTTCATAGAAGAGGCATCTTTTGGACAAGTGCATAGCAAAACCATTTTAGATCTTTTTCAAAGGCTGCCCTAAACCCCATGGCCACATATAAAAACAAACCATTATGAGCAGTAACTGGTTTATAATTGGTGTTGTAACTCTCAGGCCATTCATTTTCTCACAAAGCTTCCTGCACAGGGGGCTTTAGAAATATGAGGAAAAAAGTAATTATGATAAGCTATGTTTTTGTATATGTATATTTTATATTATATATATAGGTACATTTTTGTTTACAGACTCTTTAGCCCTAGTACACCTCTGAGAAGCAAAGTTAAGGAGGTAGAAGTGGTCACAGCTCCAAGCCTGCCAGAGTTCAAGGAGCATTTGGACAATGTTGTCAGTCACCCAGTGTGATTCTTGGTGTGGTCTTGTGCAGGGCCAGGAGCTGGTCTTTGACGATCCTTGTGGGTTCCTTCCAACTCAATATATTCTATGATTCTAAGCCATGCTTGGGCGACAGCATAACAGCTGGACAGGACATACTGCACAGGACATACTGCCAGCCTGATCATACACAACAGTCAAACTTGCCCTTTCCCTATGTTCCTCCCGACATTTCTGAGATCTCACACCCTATCCAGCTTGCCCAGGCTTCCTAAACCTGTCTTCCTTTTTTTCCTAATCTGAATGGAGAGAACAATACTAAGTTTTAAATTTGCTTAAAACACTTGAGCGACATAGTTACATGAAGGCTCTTCAAAACCACCTAAATTCTTTACATCCTATCAAGTGGAGCACGTCATGGACTTACTGTAAAGTCTGTCAATGCCAAAGAAACTTCTTGCATTTCACAGGCATTAGCTAAAACATCTATATAACTTCTAAAAGTGTCTAAATAAATTTTCTGATTGTCCTAATCTTAAAAGATTTGCAACACTGTCTACAATAATGCAAACCATGATACAACTATTGCTGCTTACTATATGAATTTTCAGAAATATGTGACTTCCACAAGAGTTAGCCTTCTCTTGGTTTCAATAAGGTACTTGGTAGATGTAGGGTCAGCTTCTACATTTGGGCACCTCTGCGTGGCTGCTATGAAATTAGACTTCAGCTGCAGGGAAAAAGTCACTCCTGGCCTGGTTTTTGTTGATTTTCAGTTGTAACCTGAATAGAGTGAAAACCATTTGCTGGGAATGGACAGAAACCTTGTGTTTTGCTTATGAGGTTGTAACCTGAATAGAGTGAAAGCCATTTGCTGGGAACGGACAGAAACCTTGTGTTTTGCTTATGAAGTTAATTCACTTAAGACATGGGGGTAATGAATTCAGTGATAAAAAGCACCTTCCTACCCATCACTTTCTGAATATTGGCAGTTCTTCTATATTGCAGGATCCTTATATTCAAAAACTACTTTATTTTTTCAGCATATTTTATTTACATTTTATTTACAATTTATAAAGGAAGAAATCAACCTGTCATAACATACATCTCCAAAAGTAATGAAAGGAAGAATCTTACTGCTCTCACACTTTTGTACAAGCCATGCCGGGCTCATAGTAAGCATGGCTGAAATTACCTGATACTGTAAGTATTTTCTAGGATAAGAAAAAATATTACTGTAGGTTTTGAAGTGGACATGGGCTGACTACAAATACGGCAATTACTGTAAATGGCTTCCTTGATGTACAGCACACTCAATTTAATGCTTAACATCCTCCCCTCCTTTATCAAACATTTGTTTGAGAGGTCTATGCAGTATACGATTTACAGTACTGCCTGTAGCACTGCTGGAAAATAATGCACGGCAATCTTTATTAATCACATTAGCAGGCAATGTTAGCAGGAATAGCAGCTGCAATATACAGTCACACCTAAGTCCTACAGATCAAGAAACAAATGTTAATCAATGGGGTTCTGCACTACAGAACTGTATTCTATGTAAATGTAAGGCCTGCAGAATTTAACAGGATGATGCTTTCAATAGGGTTGGGTTTGGCTATTTTTTGGTTATATTTTTGGTGTTCATGTTTGTTTGTTTTTGTTTTGTTTGTTCGCTTTTGTTGTTTTTTGTTGTTGTTGCTTTTAAGAATAACCCCCCACATTTCTTGGAATTCAATGGCAAGTACTGATTACTTCTGAAATTGTAACAGGCTGTTAAATATTCTGTAGGCTGTTGTGTATTTTCTCCTTGGCTGTTTCAGCTATTTTAACTTGTTCTTATGTGACAAATACACAGCATTATGGTGTATGCAAAGGATTTATCTTCTTTGAACAAAATTAAACCTTTTGTGAGTCTCTGTGTAGCTGACAGACAAACCATTTGGACAAAAGCCCCACAACTCATCAGAAAGGGACACTGAGATTTCCAAATGTGGCTCTGCAAATTTTCACATCCCCTAACCTATGACTGTATCTTTGACATGAAGCAATAAAGCAAGAGCTTACTTTGTAATCCATCTCTGCCAGGTTTTTTAGCTGATTCAAACTCTGATTTGTACTTCGGAGTCATCCTTCCACATTCAAAAAACATATGGAAAAGATCTAAAGTACTTACTGCACCTGTGGAGATACACTAAAGAACTACTTATACTGAATGGCCACGAATAGTTCTTCTGGTAAACTACAAGAAAATCAACTTTTTATTCATCCTGCTGCAGCAGGATTTCATAGCTGCCACAAAGTTTTTAAAATATTCAGACTTGGAAGAAGGGCTTTATTCCTGCGTCTATGGTTATGAGTACATAAGCTACAAATCTGCATTATTGCATTGCCCCAGCTAACACGCATTTTCAGGCTGATTTAACAACTATGTGGAGCAAAATTGTAAAATTGTTCAAGGTTACGTTGTCCACATCAAAGATTTACAGCCTGAATTTAAATAAAATTATTCTAATGTTGCATTTCCACTCCAAAGAGCAGTCTATTTACCATCCAATAAGAGATTCAAGAAGTATTTGAATTGATCCTTTTTTCTTCTAGGTAAGTCCAGACAATCCACAGCATTCTCTTGAAACTCACATTAGTATTAATAAAACTGTTCTCTACAAGGTATCACAGAGACACACGAGTTAGCATCAACCAGTGCGTGGCAGGAGAAGGTGGAATAGACCCACTTGATTTTGACAGATCATCTTCAGTTTAATTCTCTAAAAGAAGATAGAAGTATTTCAATCTCCTAACCAGTATACTGAGGAAGAAAACACTCTTCCATTGCAAAATGAGACATTTATTTAATTCCTAGCCCTTCAGAAAAGGAGCATTTCCAGGATTGTAAATATATTTTGAAAATTGAGTGCTACACCAATTTTAACTTAAGCCTTGTGATATTTGGTGGTTTTCTATAACTCCATTCTCCTGAATCTGTATGAGTATAAAGAAAAGAGCCTGTTTCTCTTACTTGCAGAAGAAAGTTTGAAAGGAGGGAGAGTCATGAGGGCCAGAGTTACAGGAAGAATGTAAAACAAACTCCAAACTGCTACTTTTAATAATAATTAGTTCAGTGGGGAGGGAAGACCATCAGCTCATGAGCTGCAGTTGGTTTTTATTTTTGGAGCACAGTGACCAGGTACTGTAGGACAGTACAGACACCACAGGCGGCCCTGGAAAACTCTGTGTCGCAGAGTATGTCCTGGGGAAACGGATTCTCCCTGAGTTTTAGAACAACACTTGACCTCTTCCATCCACTCCTTGACCACAGATTCCCTTAGGACTTCTTAACTGATAGACAGCAATTCCCACTCATCCTGATTCTACTGTCATGCCCTCACTTCATGCTTCAGCTCTCCCACATTTTATATGAGACTGTGTGCTCTCAGCATGGGCCTTAATGTCAGAGATATTCACAGGGAGAAACATCCCTCCTTAAACAAGTGCGATGTTAAAAGGACTACGGCCGGATCAAATCAGTCAAAGTTATCTGCAGCTCTTTGTTCCCAAGCACAGATGATGCACATTCTTTAATCTTCCTTGCCAGAAGAATTCCATGCTCACTAATATGTACATGTGTACTTCCTGAAAACTGGAGAAGCAGAGTTGTACATGTAAGAATTGGGTTCCTGATGCCCAGTCCATCAAACCACCCAGGATTCTTTAAGAGGCAGTGTGTGCTCTATGGAGCTGAGGACAAAAACTGCCTCTGAAAAATAGGTTCTACATTAATACCAGGTCCTCACAGTCTGTGATGTCCTTTTGTCAGAGCATTCACAAGATCTAGAAGGGGCTTCATAAAGTCTGAATTGTCTTGTTTCATGAGAAGGTGGTCCAAGACTGCTATTCTCTTGATAACATTGTGTGGATGTAAGTGTCTGCACTTTTGCTGAACACTTCTGGGTCTATTAGAAAAATTCTTTCAAACTATTAGGCCAGAACCATATTAAACACTTGAAATGGAATTAATCTCATATAACTTTAGGGCATGATTCATCTGACTGATTTTAGAAATCTAGTGAGAGATGTATCACATCATTAAAAATACCTCATTCTTTCCACTGTCTGCAAATGGGGCCTGGAGTGACCAGCACAGATGTAGACATATACCCACATTTGTCAAGATTATTTCAATCCAGCTCTCTCCTATAAACATACTAATGTAACCTCACTTTTCTCAGATTATACGCAGAACAACTCTATAGCAAAGTAGTCCCAACAAAACCAGCTTCTTCCCTGCACTTCTGTCTCAACACAAAAGAATTACTTTGCATTATGAAAAAAATATGGAATAGATTTTTGCTTCTGAAAAATGAGAATGCTATGAGAACTATTTTACACAGATATATTTATTCCATTCCTCCTATCCTTATTTCCCCCAGCACTGACAGATGTTTGCATACCTCACATCATGTGATGGGAGATTGGTAATCGCATAGCCCCTGTGGTCATACTGAAACAAACCCGAGTTTGTGACAATATTTTTCATACAAATACAAACACATGAGTCAGAAATCTAAGGAGACAGTCTGTTATTGGAAAACTCTTTAGTTCAATTTTATTGATTTTAAAGGCTAAGACTGATGCATGTGAACTTCCGAACTTATCCTTCCAGAGCTGAGCCGCTGAGCCTCCACATTTCACCCACTGCCTGCTTCACAGTCTCCCTGCATTTTCACATTAGATAACTCTGTTTGCTCACAAAGGTAATCTAGGTAAGTTATGCACAGCTGGCATGCATAAATTGTGCATATCTGTGACATCTGCCAGTGGGAAAAACACTCCAAGTATGATACATATTTCAAGAATGAGTGAATTAGTTCAAACTCAAGCTTTCTGGATCATAATTGAATCAGATCTCTGGAAACACACGAAATATTTTAATGGCCTTGTCATAATTCAAGCTATTAATATTTACTGGATGTGAAACTATTTTAGTAACAAAGGAAGTATAATACCTTTATTATACTGATAATATCTTGCTAATGCTGTCTTGTTAAACAAGCCAAAATAAATTTGTCCACTTTTTCCTGACTTGCTGCATTTATGTGCATGTACAAGAACTACTTATCAAACAAGTATTTGAATTTTTCTAACTCTTTTGGTCTAGTCTTTAGCCTTCATGAAAGCAAAACTGTCCATACATTAAGTAATATACCTTCAGAAGTCTGTGTTACCTCCAATGTGAGAAAACACAGTGTGCGTCTGTGTATTTACCTAAATACTGAGACATTTTTTTGCGGCTCCTTTAATTAAAAACAGTAGAAGAAGCTGAAACACTTACTAATAAGGACAAGGACAAGGCCAAAGCATGGATTTTTACTTCTCACCAAGGCCTCTTATCTCTGTGCAAGTAATATGCACCAAGGCTCTCACCTCTTTGGCAGCCATACCTAAAACAGCAGCTCTGAACACTTTTATTACAGTCTGGATGACGGGCTGGATGTGCACAACCCTACCCCAAGTTGTGTGGATCACCCATGGGAAATCAGCACATAGTGGCTCAAATGGGAGCAGTGGGAACCCCTCCAGCTTTCCAGCTGGACCAGGACAAGCTGTCTGTTACAACTGTTCTCATACAACAGTCATCAAGGCCATGATAAATGGTCCAGAGGCTGGGGACCACAGTCAGTCCCAGAACCACACTGCCTTTCCAGCAGACTGCCATCCATTTTGAGGATTGACTGGTACATGACAGAAGAATTTGGAAATCACTGTCCCAGCTGAATTTCTGTGCATTGCAAACTTGCTGTGCAGGGAGAAAAAGGGAGAGAGCTGCTGGATCAGAACCATACTGCACTGCAAAGTCCCTTTTTTGGAGTTAAGCTAAGGGATTATGAGGCAGAGGGAATAATACATCATTATTGACTTTAATAAGTAGTGAAATGAAATTATAAACAGTGAAAATCTTTGCTGCCAGAAAACCAGTTTCTGCCTGTGAGAACTATCACTATCCCCATAGACATGAGGATTTGTGATTTCTGATACAAAAATGAGACTAAACCATGACCTAGAGAATATAAAAATGTTTTGCAGACAGCGTTCCTGCACTGGCTCCTGGACCTGACTGGAGGATATTGCAGCATTGTCCCCTTTAAACCTGTGAAAATCCTTTCTTTCAGAGCCTTTCATGTGTAACAAAATGCTGACTATTGTTATAACAGATATTTCTATTTGAAACTTATAACACTTAAAATTGACCAGATACTCTGTTCTTGAATGTACCTCAGACAAAGAATTCTGAGATATTTTTACAGAACTGAACTTTATGCATTATTATTCATGTGCCACAAGAAAAAAAAGATTTCTAGTTAAGTTTTATGCAATTTATGCCTATTTTCATCCTCACTGAGGTCAATGGTAAAACATGAAGCCCTACTGACTGCTGCAGGACAAAGGTTGGCTATTGAGGGACATGGTTGCTGAATTCTTGTACTGCCCTGTGTATGTGTGTATGTGTGCATGTGTGCTTAAGATGAGGGAGACTTAGATGTATTGATTTTACAGCAGCTTTTTTCTCTGCTCTTAAATGAAGTGGAATGAGGAGCAAATAGCCTGGCAAACAAAAGAAACAGAGCTAGTATTATAACTGCCTGAGGTTTTAAAATCCGAGTGCAGGATCATACGGAAGATTGGCTCCTGAGTCTATTTGTCATATACCCATGTTAAATCTCTACCAAACTGTGGAGCAGCCTGAAATCCACCATGTCCCCTACTGTAGCATCAAAGGTCAGAAATAGTGCCTGCTAATAATATACTTCATTGGTTTCTGTGCCTCTCTTCAAAAACAGGACTGGAAAAGGCCTTTCCACTTGCCCAGCTTGGGTCGGGGGTACTTTTCCTCAGATACTGCTGGTGCATTGCTGCAGACCAGGCTGCTCTACTATGGTCATTCCCCAGTGGTGGCACCAACTGGGTGGGAAAACCACATTCCTCCCTCTCCTATTCCTTCCTCTCCCATCCCTTCCCCTCCCCTGGAAGCTGGTTGATGGCTCTGATTACAGAGCCTCCAGGAAAGCAGTCTTTGTCGTAAAAGGCCAAAGTTCATAAACTTCCATTTACATCAGTAAACATGAACAATTCTTCCCGAGCCTGAGAAATCAATTCCCACAATGCGTCAGCCAGACGTGCTTTAACAGACTGAATTGAAATGCCCCTTCTAATCTGCATCAGAGGAACAAAACGGATCCTATCGCATAATGTGCAAAGATGGGAGGGGAAGAGGGAGCAGTACTCACCATTGCACATGCAGCGCACATTCCTGTAAAAGCGGGGACACACAAAACTAATTCGTGCCGTGCTATAGGTCATCAGGGAATGTGAATCAATAGACAGACTTTGCTCACAGTGCTGTTCCTGACAATCCAGTCCAGAGCAATTCTTCTCCAAGATAGCAGAAATACGAATCACATTTTCCAAGTGTCTCCTCGCATTGGTAAGCTTCTGAATCAAATAGGCAGGCTTATAGAAACCACCAGTGTGCATCTGAACTGCAAACAGCATGTCAAGCTGATTGCTGCCTGCCACCGGCTGAATACTGATGATGTGTAGGCTGTCTTGTTTTTGGGAGAGCACTGCATTTCGCAAGGTACGCCTGAACCCATGCATGTGAAGGCCCACGAAGTCTTCTGGGGAAACATTCTCGAAACGGATGGTGACTGTGTTCTGCAGCATTTCTTGCAGCAATTGCTCAACGTGGACCACAACATCGATGGGTACCTGGAACCGACCGTCACTGACAGAGACATTCAGGACATATTTGCCATTATCGAGCCCTCCAAGGGCAATGATCTTCCCATCATGGCTGTTGACCTTGAACAAACTTTTCTGCTCTGATTTTAGCGTGTATGTGAGGACATCGTATACATCCTGATCTGTGGCATGAATCTTCCCTATGACTCCCCCAGGAAAATCGTCTTCCATGGTGACAATGAAAATCTCCAGTGGAATTGCAGTCGGTTTGTGAATGCTCTCTTCAATAACCCTCACCTGAACGTAGGTGTGGGAAACCTGCTGAGGCTTCCCAGAGTCCTTTGCCTGATGTAATGTAGAAAAGAATAAAAAAATTCATCAAAACCCAAAACACTCATAGAACACAGCCTACAACCCTAACTTCTTGCTATGTCTATTTTCACAGCACCAGTAATTCTGAAAACCTCTCAAAAGAACTTCCCAAATGCATTTGCAAAATACATATGTAAAGAAATGTCTCAGCCATTTCTAGCAGTGGAACTTAAAAACTTTTAGGGAAGCACAGATCTTTAAGTGGATTGCAGAGAGAAATGTGTCAGTAGAATGTCTCATTACCCAAACTGAAATGTTCCCAGGATCCCACAGCTATCACTTATCTTCTGCACAACACAGAATATACCAACAATGTGGTATATTCTGCACCAAACTTCTACCCTGGAAAAGAGCCTGAAGTCTAGTGAAACAGCAGCTTTCTGCATTGCTTGGTGTGCTCCAAAGCATTTCAGACCCTGTTTAACTTCTGTGGATGTGAGGGAGTTCAGAATTTTTCTACAGCACTCTGTACTACTTCACCTGAAGCAATCTAGAAACATGCTTGAAATAAATAAAATTTATCACCCTCCAAAAATGAAATAGGTGCTTGTGCTCTTACTAACAATAAAATACGAGAGCAGCACTGCACTTGGACAGATGACTGTATGACCCAGAGCACGTCTGATGGCATCATTTGCACTTTCTTATAGAGTAAAGAGCAAGTATGACAAAAAACCCAAGGCCACCATGACAGAAAGGTGTGCAAACTTGAATCAGTGTCCTTTCCTACGCTAAGAGAAATGTTTTCATTGAAGTCACTATTAAGATATACTGCTCCACTCATTTATTTGCTCCACAGAAGGACAGAACACTGCACAGAGATACAGCACACATTCAAAGATCTTTGTATCTGGACATGGGGAGGAAAATTTACAAGCTGAAGAAAAATTATGGCAGGATGACAACAGTAATATGCCCATTACTAGGAATGGATTAGTAGCTCCAAAGACACTCCAAAATTCATTCATCCTAAAAGAGCTGGGTGGAGCATTTAAAAACAATAATTTATATACATGTGCAGACATACACACATGCACAGAGATTACATCCCATTCCGCTTTCCATTTTAGCATTACTTTTTAAAAAACCTAACACAGAAAAACCTTATGGTGGAAAGGAGAAAATGGCCCTCTGGCACATGAATGGAAAGAAGCATTTCTATGGTCTACGCAAAACAGGAAGCTATAAAAAATGTTTTCACTGCAGAAATCCCTAAAGAAGATAATACTGGGAGGAATTATGCCTCCACAATCCAACAGTGTGGTTTTTATGAGCATGTTGGTGCATCTCATACATGGCAGTCTGTCTAAGATTTCATTTATATGAAATACTTGGATCTCCACAGCTAGAGGATTCTGCTTAAATTTAACTCTTGTGCCCAGTTTTGGCTATACTAGAACTTCAGCTAGCAAATTGCCCTGAAAGCAGGATACTTTAGGATGAAGGCACAATAAGAATGAAAGGTGAGGATTTTTTTTTCTACAAGGCTAAAACATAGGTTTGGGGAATATTAAATGGCAAACTTGTAAAATTTTGATTTGAACTGTTAATTAGCATCACAGCTCATATTTTTAAATGGTAACTAACAATTGTACCTAAGGATGTTACTGCTGTGAACAGCATTAAATGTGCTTGATAGGCAGATAGGCTGGCTGTATTTAGACAGATCAACACCAGCAAAGCAAGTGGAGGAAGGATGCATTTCAGACACAGCTTATAGGACCATGTATGAATGAAGAGGTGTAGTTCATTCCCTGGACTTGCTTATTTACTGAACCCTAATCCATCTTCTCTGGCAGGCCTGAGAAATGTGGACAAATTACTTTTGGATTTATGGGTTTTGGTAATCAAAATTACCCTAGTTACAAAGTTTCTCAACAATGACTCTAAAGCTAAGTTTGAGCTGGGCTTCTATTGCATGTCTTATTTTGACATTCTTTAAGAGCTAAGTTGACCTTGGAAATGTGATTTCATGAATTCTTGGTAGGCGTCCAAAAATTTATGATTAAATTTATGACTTAAAAGCAGAAGTGATTTTCCTTCCTAGAACAGTATTTTGCTGTCACTTGTTCTGTGGTGTATTTATATGTATATAATGCATTTTTGCTTATTTTCCTTGCTTAGCTACAGGAAAAAGTGATGAAAATCCTAAACCATAACGGTTGCTGCTCAGAAAATTCATTTCATACGGAGGAAATTGGAAAGGTGGCTGGCTACCTATTTATATTTATATGAAATTAGGCTTAAGAACATCAAAGGAATTGCACCATATTGTGCATTTGTAAACTGGAATGCATGTTTTTTACTCATAGAATACAGTTGATTAAAACCAACCCATACAGGCAATGTACAGGTTACCTACCACTAAGAGGATTCTTTTGTTTATGTGCAGATGCAAAAATGAAGCCATACCTGCACGCAGAGCACATATTCAGTTGCAACCATGTGCTTGAAGATGACTGCAGACCTCAAAACGCCGTGAGGGTCCAGTGTAAACTCCTCCTCTTCATTGCCAGTGAGGATGGTGAAGGTAAAAGGGGGGCCATTGTGAAAAGAGTCTTTGTCTGTCACTACCAGCTGCAAAATGCTTGTGCCCACTGGTTTATTTTCCTTTACACATATACACAGTGTATAAAGAAAAGGATTAAAATGATACATATCGCAAGTATAAAATACCACATTTTGCTATCGAGAATATTCAACTGAATGCTTTTTGCCCAAGATAGCATTTCACAAGCTGCATTTATTTGACACTGCTTACATCCCACAGACCAGTGGTAGGCATGAAGGTACCCACCACACCTCCAGGGACTGCTGAGCTCTGCCTGATACTGTGTCTGATTGGGATTGCCTAACAGTTAAGGCTCACCCCCTACACAAGGTGTAAAGAAGTGTGAATTTATCCCAGAACAGACATTTTGAGGCTAGAGTACCTGGTGCAACAGGGATGAACAGTAAAATGTGTGACAGATGCTGTGGTTAAGGAGCTTCAGCAAACAGAAACTTACCAAAGACTTCAGAAAGATGTGTTTATACTTTACTTTAGATAAGATCACTTGATACTTCTTTTGCAGATAGATCATCAAAAGCTACTTAACTGAAACCAAATGCTCTTGCATTTTAAAAATCAGAGAAGTTTTTGATGTGAAGGATAAACTCACTTGAATTACAGCGGTGTAGTTAGCTGGAGTAAATACAGGGCTGTTATCGTTCACATCAGAAATGTCCACATTGACCGTCACAGATGAAGACAAAGGAGGGGTGCCGCTGTCTCTTGCCTGGATAACTAATGAATAACCCGATATCTGCAAAAAGGTGAAAACATTAAATCATTGTGAAAGCAGTCCTAAATTTTAACTCAAGTTCTTTACATCCAATACACCACCTACCATATTCTAAGGTAAACTGTTTGGCCTCATTACCTTCCTGCCCTTAGTATAATATTATCCTGTTTATTGCTACACTGTGTCCCAACTTCTGTTTTACAAGGATATCAATAAACATAACAGCTTCATCGTATTAAAATAACGGTATCAGATAATGCATTCCTGAAATAAAGGGGCAGACAGAAAATAAAGGACAGATAATATCTGAACCCAGGCATTAGTACTGTAGTCATTTCACCTAGGTGTCAGCTGGGACACGTGACCTGATTCTATTTATCTTCCAGTTGGTTTCCAGGATGTTACATAAATTGCTTGTTAGAGCCAGCCTCAGTTTGACACCTAGTGTTTCTAACGTGGTGATGGAGAACCAAGAAAAAGTTCACAGGCTGTTGGCTTAAGCACACTGGAAAACATTTGGGAGTATTAGGGACAACAGTCTCTGTAACAACAGGATATTATCCACCATTCAGTAGAAGATAAGGGGTCTTGAGCCTGCCCGTTTGCAACAGACACAAACTCCTCAGCATAGTGCTGGCAGTTCAGTGCTTCATCCACGGGCACTCTACACACATACATGCCTGTGTGTGAGGTGTGAGCATATGCGACAACTTGCAAAAGCTTTGTCTATGCAGAGTTTATGGGTGACAGTTGGATTTTTTGAACTGCATCCTTCTGTTGGCCTCCTCAGGTCTTGCAACTGCTTTTTTATTGTATATTGCTCCCTGTTCCTCAGGGAAAGCTGCTGACATGTCTGCCCCTGAATCCTTCTACAGGGGAGTGAGCAAAGGGCAAAACGTGCCAGATACAACACTCTGCTTCACCCTCTCAGTGCAGGGCTGGAACGAGGAAAAGCACAGCCCTGCAGAAGGCAACAACATAATGTTAAAGGGGCTTTTTCAGGAGCAGGGTGAGGAAATGCAAAGGCATTTGAAAAATAAAAACCTTTCTGGTAGTAGGGAGGAGTACAAGCTAAGCACACAAAATAAGAGGGCTCTTCTGGGATGTGGGACCAACCTAAAGGAAAAAGGGAACATGTTTTTAGGGGGGTTGTATGGAGCAGAAAGAG